CATCAAATCTAAATCACCATCATTTACCTTAAAATCCATAAATCGTATTCATAGTCATATGATTATTATATTAATCTCATAATTTCATCGAAGTATTGCAAATCATTTTTCATTGTCATATCAACCGCCCGTTCTATTAGCCATTTTGCTCATAATTCAGCTTGTCATCGATTGTATCACTAGCATTCCTTAATCTTTCAGATCTATTACGTTCATGTACAACTCTTCACCGCGTATATTTACCGACTATTTTCCATCGAGGTGTATCAAATTTTACCTTGTGATCGTCCTTACTACAATCTTGCAGTGTAACTATCTTGTACACCTCGAGCGCTTTATTTATAATATTTCTAAAGTGTCTGTATACGGTGTCTGGGTTCTATAAATTAACACCTCTTCTAATTTCCCACTAATTACAACACATTTTCTAAAATATTCTGCGTATTCGGCTGTAACTTTCTGCTTACTAGCAGACCATGTTATCAAGCCATTAGTTATATTTAAATTCCAGACACATAAAATCAGTTCTGAAAGGATTAATTTCAATTTAAACTATTTAGTTAGTACAATAGTCAATCCGATTTCTCCAAAGGGCGTTCAGCCACACATACAAGTGCATATAGGTGCTCAGACTAATCTATGGAATCAAATGCCCAGCATTTGATTGCGTTGATCATTACTTATAAAAATTTTAACTTCCGTCGTCGTCAAAGACAACGCTTTAAATTTAATTCAATCTTATTTATCTGATGAATATCAACCAAATATTTGAAAACAACATCACCGTTATTATTATAAACTTCCAATATCTCTACACCTGTAATTTTGTACAATTCAACATTAAAACACCCTCACTTATTTAATACATCCGTTCTCGTATGCTATGCAAGTGACGACATCAGTTCTTATATGTTGATGAGTTCACTATTAAAAGCCTTAGTTAACACTTTTATTTTACTTCAACTCAACAATTATGTCAAAAGTTACAATGGTCTAAATACAACACATCCAATCTCATATTCAAGTCAATTGAGTCAACATGTATACCAACAATTCTTACATGCTCGTTAATTTAGCATTATACGCTTCGATTATTCTTTTTTTTTTTTAATCAATTAAAATTTTAATAGATACAATATCTCAAGATTTAACAAAGGTTAACTAGAAATTAATAAAATTGGCAAAACCATCTACAACAGTAATTTATAACTGTAAACTGTAATCCTTAACAATATTTAACTTTCTTATATCTTAACTTTCATTTATATCCTCTAGTAACTTTTCTTATATATATTCCTGGGATTAAATTGACAGATATAGCCTTACTTCCACAACTTATATTCTCTCTCATTTTATTTGCATTGGATATAAAGGTCTCTTAAAACAGTTATAGGTTCAATAGGATCCTTTCAACTTAAATCTAGTATACCCATGTACACTTTTCAAAACTTTAATGCTCATACATTTAACAACAATCAATTGTCCTTTTGATTTTTTTCTTTTAACTACCTGTGCTTCTTAAATTTGTATTCACTATAATACCATTATAATTAAAGAACAATGGCTCAGCTCGCAAACATTTTCTCAACAAATACTTCTCTATAACATCTAAAACTTACAACTTAGACCATGCAGTATTTATTTTTCATTCTACATATATGCTATTCATAAAGTAGTTTATTATCCATCAGTAAACCATATAAAAATCTCATAAATTGCGGCAGTATCCATATTCATAAACCAGCTCGTCCATACTGACTATCCACGTCTCTCCCTATGGAAGTTTGCATCCAGTCTTTTCCTGCTGTTTCTTTTTTTTTTCTTATGTCATCTGCTTATCTTTTTTCTGCTGTCCTACTTTTCTTTTGTCTGTCGTCTCTGCCATTTTCTTATATATATATATATTCTTTGGCTATCACTGGTCTCTTGGCTTATAAATTTTTCATTTCATTATATGGCGTCATACAATCCAATCAATCACAATACTATTTAAATGTTAAATAGGCATTACTATATGTATTTATACCTGTACATATGATACAATCTTCTTTTGAATCATCTCTATATATATATATTTTTTTCTTCTATAAATTATACTGATACTGTGCTTGTGAATCACTGTTCATCCCAACGGATACCAACATCTCACTTTCAATCTAAGTTACATTTGCAGTGATTAACTTGTGTTCACAAGATATTGAGGATTTTTCCTATTCTTCTTTTTTTTTTTTTTTACTTATATATTCCTGTCATAGCTATACCGAAATCGCCATGCACTGTCCTCTACAGTACAGTAGATTCACAGAAGATAATTGGAAGTGTGGCACAGTATAGGAGTGCTATCTTCATAAAACTGACTAACTTCAGTCTCATCCTATTTGGTAACAAAGTTATATTAAATAAAACAAACCACATGCTTATAAGGGCACAGCATAAAACACCAACAATCAGTGTTCGATATGCTCAGTTTTTAAAAATATTGAAAAATGGCTTGATAATGATGGCGACTCACCGAATTATTTCACCACCTGGTGCATGTCCCGGGACTCGTATTTATACACACACTAACACTGTCTGATGTTATTGAATAGTTTACACAGTGAAGTCCTTAGTTTTGTTCACTTTAATTTGCTATTTGAATTAATAATTGAGACAAAGCACTCGCAGCCGCGTTCTCGATCTTGATGTTCAAGCGACAGTGGCGCTCAGTGCGCATGCGGCCGCATGCGTAAACTCTCGAGTTTGTTCGAGTACAGGTGGGCGGGAGTTTTTAAAATCAAGCCATTATTACAAAACCCAACATTTCCCCCCACCGAAATCCGCCAGGATTTCCCAGTTACGATACCAAGTGGAACTTGAATTAGTTTAATAAAGTCCCTAATAGGTATGTGATATAAGTAAATAAATGCGTATAGATATCAGTGTTAAAAATATTGAATATATAGATATACTTAGAGATAAGTGGACTGTATAAAATTTATAAATATATTGTATTTTTTTTTTTTTTTTTTTTTTTTTTTATAAGTATTGTTAATCTGCATCCTGATCCAATGGAAGTGGACTTACTTTAGAAACCGGACGTGTAAACTCGTGATTATTAGCTGTACGTATAGTGATCACACGTACTATGCCATCAGGACCTTTATGTAATTTTGAAACGCGACCCAATGACCATTTCAGTGATGGTGCATCGGAATTTATAAGTACAAGATCACCGATATTCAGATTACGACAGTTGGTAAACCACTTTTGACGATGTTGTAAAGTATGTAAGTAATCTTGTCTCCAGAGCTTCCAAAACTGCTGTGACAGTTGTTGGACCAACTGCCAACGGTTCAGATAAGAGACAGACAAATCTGTAATATTATACTCGGGGACTGTCAAGAGTTCCCGACCTATAAGAAAATGAGAGGGAGTCAGCACCTCAAACTCATTGGGGTCGCTAGACAAGGCACAGAGGGGCCTTGAGTTAAGGACTGCTTCGACACGAGAAAAGAGTGTACTGAGTTCTTCAAACGACAGAGCGCGAGTGCCTATAGATCGTTTCAAATGCAATTTTGCCTGCTTGATCACGGATTCATAAAGACCTCCAAAGTTACTTCCAGCTGGGGGATTATATCTCCATTTTACACCTCGAAATAGAACCCCATCTGACAGACTATTCGAATTTTTATTAAGGAAATCTGTAACCTCTTTCAGTTGTTTTCCAGCAGATATAAAATTAGTGCCATTATCTGACACTATAGAATTACAAAGGCCTCGTCTTGCCGTGAAGCGGTCAAAGCATGCGAGAAAGCACTCTGTACTAAGAGAAGACAAGACTTCCAAGTGTACCGCACGTGCGGTGGAACAACAAACGAAAACGCACAAATAACACTTCGATGTGCGAGCATTCTTACGGGTGGATTCCTTAATAAGAAAAGGTCCGCCTATGTCTATACCTACTGTATGAAATACATGAACATCTTGAGAGCGATATTTAGGTAAATCACCCATTATAGGCTGTCGATTTGTAGGAGACACCCTAAAACAGGCTACACATTTGACTGTGCGTGATCGAATAGCGCTACGTGCTGAAACGATCCAATATTTTTGAGTAATCAAACTTTGAAGAGTTCGAGGACCCACATGTAAATAAATTTTATGATAATAATCAATAAGAATTTTAGTAAAATTTGTACTCTTTGGCAGAAGTAACGGATGCTTCTTCGGATAACTTAAATTTGATTGAGAAAGTCGACCCCCCACCCTGAGGAATTGACTGGAATCTACGAAGGGGTTGAGCTTTCTTAACGAATGATTACAAAGACCACCCTTTGATAAAGACGAAATATCGTTTGAAAAATGACGTGTCTGAACGGCTTTTATCAAGCTGTCATGTGCTTTCCTAATGTCAGCAATTGAAAGTGATCTTTTCGAAGCAGTGGATTTGCAGTTATCAATAAAAAGATAGCATCTTGCTACAATATTGACCAATTTAACAAAATTTGAATACCTTTCCGTAAGACTATAAATTAAATTATCTGAGTCAGGTTCTGTGGTAATAAGTACTGGCATTTTTGTACTCTTAAGTTCAGGTGGATTAACATCACGAAATTCATCAATAGTCTTAATAGGCCACTGTGATGGGTCCAGATTAAGCCAGTCAGGCCCGTTAAGCCATTCATGCATAACAATTAATGCTGATGGTAAGGCACCGCGAGAACAAATATCAGCTGGGTTAGAAGCACCACTCACATGATGCCAGCATTGACTAGGTACACTATCATTAATTTTGGACACCCTAGTTGAAACAAAAGTTTTGAGACTTTGGCATGGCGTGTTGAGCCATGACAAAACAACGGAAGAATCGGTAAACAACAAGGTGTCATTAACTGTTAATCGATCATGTAGAATTGACTGGGTATATTTTACTAATTTAGCCAACAAATGAGCAGCCATTAGCTCTAGACGGGGTATGGTAACAGTCTTTAAGGGCGCGACCTTAGATTTAGCAATAACTAGACTGTTTTTACTTTCACCATCTGCGTTATTGGATCGAATATAAACAACCGCGGCATAACCAAGAGTCGAGGCATCGCAAAACCTAGAATCTGACAATAATTATAGCGAGATACCTTGATATGGCGATCATGTTTTAATTTTGATAATAATGATAATTCATTGACATATGTCCGCCATCGAGCTTCAAGGTCAAAAGGTAAGGTTTGATCCCAACCTAATTGTCGAGCCCATAGTTCCTGCATGAAGCACTTTGCATAAAAAACACACGGAGCCGCAAAACCTAGGGGATCAAATAGTCGACCAATCTGGGACAAGACTGTTCGTTTTGAAATGACAGGATTAGGCGAAGTAGTAGCGAATGTGAACATATCACTCGCTGGCAACCATTGAAGTCCCAACACCTTGATAGACATGTTGGTATCATCATCGAATGCAACTGGCGTTTCGCGATGAGCCTCATCCAGGTGCTCCACGACTTCAGGACAATTGCTCGACCATTTTCGGAGTATAAAACCACCAGCCTTCAAGAGATTAATTAGGTCCGTCTGAAGCGCTATCGCCTCTCTGACGGTAGCTACAGACCAAAGCAAATCATCCATAAAAAAGGCCCGTTTTAAAATGGGTGAAGCTAACGGAAATCGCTCTACTTCGTCATGCGCTAAAGTATGAAGTACTTTAATAGCTAAATATGGACAACTAGCAACGCCATATGTCAATGTATTCAACTGATATATTTGTATAGGTTGATCTAAAGAGTAACGCCATAAAATATGTTGATACGGACGTTGACTCTCATCGAGAGTTATCATCCTATACATTTTACAAACATCTGCAGAGAGACATATTTCATGAAGACGAAAATTTATTAATAGTTCTACAATGTCAGCTTGAAGTTTAGGACCCGGTAACACCAAATCATTCAGCGAGTTATTATTTGAAGTCTTGCCAGAAGCATCAAATACTACGCGATGAGATGTCGTGGTGCTTGTTGGCTTGATGATGCAAAAATGCGGGATGATATATTTCGAATCCACGTTCTGGACATCACCAAGACAAGTCATATGACCGAGATCCTCATACTCGCGCATAAATTTATGATACTGAACTTTCAACTCAGGATCTCGTTTCAGTTTCAATGAAATCGACGAGTTGCCATTTGACGTGTGGAAAAATCTTCAAAAGACCGTCACCCCACCGGAGGGACTGAACTTTCAACTCAGGATCTCGTTTCAGTTTCAATTCCAAGTTATGAAATCGACGAGTTGCCATTTGACTCGAGTCGCCTAATTCAACCGAGGGACGAAACGGATACTTGACTACATATCTACCCGAGTCGTCGCGTCGATAGTCTTTCAGGAATAGACTCTCTGCTAATTCCTCCTCTGGACTACGGAGAGGTGTATCAGTCGGCATATTCTCAACTTCCCAAAAGGAGTGCATTATTTGATCGAGATTTATGGAAAGTCCGCAAAACGTACCACTCCGACTGGAGTCAGCAGGCAGTTCTCCGTCTCTGACAGTATCCGTATGATTAAGCTCAACCTGTCCCAATATAATATATCCAAATATGGAACCCATCGCGACAGGCATCCCTTGGTAACGAGAAAATATCTTATCGCCATTGTAGATATAAGGAAATAGATCACTAGCAATTAATAATTCGACTGGCGCAGGTTTATAAAAATACGGATCAGCTAACGTTAAGTGCTGAAACTCCACAACAGTCCTCTGAGGGAGGTGCACCGTAGGTAAGTTACCTGTAATAGCTGAAACGATAACCGCATCGGTTGACAAGATAGGACCGGTACCGTGTAGCGGCTTAATTTTACATGTACTTAAACCATATTCGCGTACTGGGTTACCACCTAGACCGCTAGGTTTAAAATTACATTTACGTCTCGACAGTCCGAGGCGCTTGATACAGTCTTGAGTTATGTAGCTCGACATAGCGCCGCTATCTATTATAGCACGTACGGGTTGGTACTGGCCCCAACAATCTGCGACGTGTATAACTGCGGTGCCGAGCAAGACAGTCAAGTCCGCTGAACATGTCAATGTAACCGCACTAGGATTCGAACTTGCAACAGAATCAATGTGCAAAGTATGATGATGCTTTTTCTTGCAGATCGTACAACGTACCTTAGATGGACAGTCGTCAACAACATGCTCTCGTAAACAATTTTCACACAGATTCATTTGTTTAATTTTGTCGAGACGCTGCATCGGAGTCAGGTCGTTGTAGTCGATACATCGATATATAGAATGCATCTTTTTGCAATACAAACACTCAATGGATTTATTAGATTTTACAGAGTGATTTGTATTGACAACAGCTGACGACAAGGAAGGCCTTGTACGTCGTAAATTTGAATTATTAGAATTATAAGGGTCATTGACCTTTGACTGGCTTTTTGAGTACGTTACACTTCTAGTAGTAGTGGAATTTGTAGCACTCATTGACATCTCGAGAACGCGCACTTGCTTTTCTATAAATATAATTAAATCACTAACAGTAGGTATTTCGTCCTGCTCCAATTCACGCTCCAACTCACGCCTGGTCACGGAGTCGAGATTACGCAAAGCAACATAAAATAACATAAATCCTGACAAGTCGGTAATATCAAGTAACTGAAGTGCCTTAATATTTTCTTGAAACGTCTGTAAGAAACTATTAAGTCCAGTGACTGATTCATTTACTAATGGTTTAAATTTGAAAATATTATCTAGATAAGTAGTTGCCAATGCCCGTTTATTCTCGTACCGTTTAACCAACGCGCTCCAAACTATCTCATAATTGTCCGATGTAACCGGCATCGACTTAACAATCGTCAACGCATAACCACTGACAGCTGACAACAGATAGTAAAATTTCTCAATATTTGCTATGTCTTTGTTATTGTGAATTAGTCTAGAGTAGGTATCCCTAAAGGTCGGCCAACTTTCCAATCGGCTGTCAAAGGGAAAAATCTCCAGTTTGGGTAACCTAGGTTTAACACAAGCACTAACAGCATCGCTGGATTGTGTATTATTTGTAGTATTATTTTTATTCAAACTATCGGCAACACTACGAATGAAAAAATATATCTCGTCAAAACTAGCTATCTCTTTGTATGAGGGAACATAATCAGGAAAGAATTTCTTTTTCAAAACTGTAATATTGAGAATACTATGTTCGAACTTTTCCCGCCATGATGACATTTCAGTACAACGAACATTAAATTCGTTTGTCAACTCAGGTTTGTCTCGAACATTTTTTGAAATCTGATATAAAGATTGCAATCTCAAGAAACACATCTCTTTTGCAGTAATATGTGGTTGCACCAACTTATCATAATCCTCCTTGGTGGATTCACCGTCAAGTTTAGGGGGCATTTTTATGAACGTTTATTTTACTTGATTTATTGTAGGTCAATAGCACAACGCAAGACAAAACGCAATGGCGGCTGTATGTCGTGATCAATTTTACGCAAATAAATATGAAATTAATATGATGAATTACTACGTTTGGAACGGAATTTTATATTGGATTAGGTTATATACTTTATAACAATGGGTTTTAACGAGGTCTCACACTTATAACTTATGTATTAACTGAGATATAAACGAATAACTTTTCAACAATAAGGTTGGTTATTTACCGGTTTTATATTATAACCAAAACCTATTAAATATGTGTATTTACCTAATGTAGACCAATAAATACGTGTAAATAAGTATATATTTAGTTGTATTGATTTCGTAACTGGTCAAATCCAGGCTCGAATGGCCAAAATGTTCGATATGCTCAGTTTTTAAAATATTGAAAAATGGCTTGATAATGATGGCGACTCACCGAATTATTTCACCACCTGGTGCATGTCCCGGGACTCGTATTTATACACACACTAACACTGTCTGATGTTATTGAATAGTTTACACAGTGAAGTCCTTAGTTTTGTTCACTTTAATTTGCTATTTGAATTAATAATTGAGACAAAGCACTCGCAGCCGCGTTCTCGATCTTGATGTTCAAGCGACAGTGGCGCTCAGTGCGCATGCGGCCGCATGCGTAAACTCTCGAGTTTGTTCGAGTACAGGTGGGCGGGAGTTTTTAAAATCAAGCCATTATTACAAAACCCAACAATCAGGAATTCTCATAAATATATAACGGTTGTATAGAATGGGAACGAATTTCCATGCATGGAAAGTTATGCAGCCTATTAATAACCACATTACCAAGGTCATCAGCAAAGTTTTCTAGAATATCCATATCTCTTTACTTTCCTAACAATCTTGTCTGTCTGTGTCTCATAATTTTCCTCTATAATAATTTTAAAGCTTATGTACTTTGAATATCTTAACATTGCCTCCCACAGAGACTATTTAATAATAACTAATTAATATACAGAAACTTCATTAGTCAAATCATAAATTATTTTATAATCCTGTAGTATACAAATACATAAAAGGTAAGTTACATAAACCATTTAAAAATAGTATCCAATTTTTCCTTTCTCCTCTATTTCACCATATCACAGTTTACATGTATTCACTTAATTCTCTCCCATCTGTCCATACCTATATACAACAAAAGAGTGCTATGCACTCATTTATTTCCATTGTCCTGCCATAATATCTGAATTATAAAGTTTATTATCCAAATTTCACAATTCTAGACCACACTGTTTGACACAATCCATGTGCTAACTTCAAGATGAGTTCATTATTAACTCATGAATGCTTTAAATCAGTTATTATCATCTTCTGATATATATATTTATTTATATTATTATTCAATAATATATTCTATTTGTTTTTTTTTCTTTATTATCTGTACTTCACAAATATATAATACAATTTGAATTTAAATAATTATGATTTCCTCCTTGGTTCACATTTCAATTCCAATACAGATTTAACAATGAATCTGTCCACTTTATAGTTTCTTAGTACTGTCATTCTACAAATGACACTAAATAATAAAACTCAATGGATAACTTAAGCTCAGATCCTTGCAGCAAATCTTCAGTTCATTAGCTTATGCAGTACACAAGATTGGACAATATAGCAATACATTGCAATATATTACAATAGTCAATTTTCATTATTGTGATAACAATTGTCTAATGTTGTACATATTCATATTATAAAATCATGACATTTTGTGCAATTTACTGTATGGAGAGTTATAACTCATCAAAAGGCAAATACTCTCACTGTTGCGACTCAATATATATATCCAAACATTCTGTATGTACACAAATATTAACTTATTTCCAAAAACTTTTATTCGTATTCATAACACAAATAGTAAATTTAAAGACAAGCTTGTTGCTCAAGTATTGCTTAGAAAATTCAACAGGTTTCTTGTACAATCAATAATACAATCAAGAGCCAACAACATTCATTTCTGGCTTTACCAAAAGCTTTTCTTTAGATCAAAAGACAACTTCATAAATTATAAAACTAAACTAAAGTCAACAGGTCTTTTGTACAATCAAGACCCAACAACATCCATTTCTGGCTTTACCAAAAGCCTTTCTTTAGGTTAAAAGACAACTTCATAGTTTACAAAACTGAACCACGTAAGAATAGTCTTACCTGTAATCTATCACTTACTAACATATCACATATTAATTGGGTGCTTATAAATTACAACAATCACTTACTAAACATTGTCTCAACTGACAAATGTACATAGCTACAGGTACCTGCACAGGACCTTTAAGTACCTTTATTGATCAACAATGGCTGCTAAGGGCCATTCTAATGAATTTCAAGAGAAGCATCAAAGAAGTGAACCAATTGCTCAAACATATAATACATTCTATATGAGCATACATATAATATATAATTCCAGCATAATATGACACCTTTGAGGAATTCAATATCATTTCTAGGTGCTTTATCAACACATTAATAATCAATATCATATGATTATGATAACCTTGAGGATCCTAATAGATCTCAATTGGATATTATACTAAATAATGATTAAATAAGGAACTATTAATAATAATAGTTTACAGTTATTCGGTTTTTTTAACATTGGAGTTTACTACCAATTGTTAGCCATTGCTATATATATGTATATTTATAAAATTCAAAACACAGCAAGAAATAAATATAATAATTGTACTATCAGAGTTAAGTACTATTTTCACTGAGAGCTTCACAGCTAATCATGAGATAGCATCTAAAATGTCTTTAATATGTAATATTATGAAATATAACATGTTATGTAGCTTGTATCAGTTTATGTCAACAATATACTGTGTCTATCTATATTAATATGCTTTATTAATTCATTAATAAACACATATCAAAGTATCAAGCAATATAATATATATATGACAGTATCTCAATTTGGGAAATAAACACAATCAAGACATATACCTGGACTATGCCTGTGATTGTCATTTATCTGAAATGGGATCATCAAACATATATGTGTACCTATGTAAAGAAATAATAACAATTCTTCAATTCAATTCATGTAGAACAAACACACAAAACTGAACAGTAAGTTTGACTAATTTACTGTGAATTAGCAACAAACTCAGCAATACCATTACACTGTTTATATGTATAACATGGTATGTGTTCTCATGTTCAACCTGTATGTCAACATAGTTAATGTAACTGTTTCTAATCTGTTGATATCCTATCATACTCTATCATAGGCATTAATAACATAACAATAGTTACTCTGTATTTTAAACTTAATGTATTCATAATACTTCTTTCTTAGGTATATTGTATACCTCAATATCGTGCTACATGTCATGTCATTACTCTCGCAAGTTATCGTACATACTAAATCTATTTAATATGTAGAAAGCAATTCATCCAAAAGTTCAATAAAACAAGTGAGATACTGCGTTTAATGGTATGCGTGTTATTAACGTAAATTCACTTACCACAACTTCTAGTCAGAATTACCTTACGGTCGAATTTGTAGGCGGGATTGGTACCGCTTCTGAACTTTTATAATCACTAGTATCCTGACGACTTAGGCGTAATGCCGGTTAGTCAGGGAGAGAAACACCTCAATGCCTACAATATTCACAATTACCTATGTCAGCACTGCACTAATTTGGTTCAAATAAAAACTCAAGCTTACTGTCGAAAAAACTCAATTTAATGTTTTTCTTCAAAGACATATGGCAAACAACAAAAACGAAAAGGTAGCGAGAACTAATTTTCTCTGTGGCGCCATCTAGTTTAATTTATACGAACTAACATCTTCATCTGGGTATTACTATTAGACATTCCGCCCACCAAGAACTAGTTCTTATATAATAATAGAAAATTAACCAAAGTTTAAAATTATACAATAATATGATGGCCGCCCACCGTAACAAAGTAAGAAAACAAATATAAACAAACTATTAACTAAAATATGCAAGTTTACATAGCAAATAAAATAACTAAAATAAACGCTAACATAAAAATAAACTAAATATCCATATCATTGAGTATCTCAGATTTAGGCAGGAAACATAGTTTATTGCACGGTCTTTTGAGATAACCATTTTTTGTTTTTACTGTAACAACACGAGTAATGTTGTCTTTCCCTGTGTGCTTCTCGACAATTACACCAAGTAGCCACTTCGCTGGTGGTAGATTCTGATCCTTAATTATAACAACATCACCATTCTCCGGTTCACTTCTTTTCATAGTCCACTTAAATCGTTGATTTAATGTTACAAGGTATTCGTCAGACCATCTCTTCCAAAAATCATTTAACATTTTTTGAATCAATTTCCAACGTTGAAGGCCCGTGACATGCTTTTTAGAGTAATCTTCATCTGGAATAAGGGTCAGGGGTTCTCCAACCAGGAAATGACCGGGAGTAAGTGGTAAAGGATCGTCTGGACTATCACTCAATTGAGACAGTGGTCGAGAGTTCAGACATGCCTCTATTTGTGTAAGTACGGTAGATAGCTCCTCGTATGTCAGTGTAGTCTCTCCTATAACTCGTTTTAGGTGCCCCTTTGTGGAGCGCACGCCGGCCTCCCAAAGCCCCCCAAAATTAGGAGCTTGGGGTGGTATATAGTGCCACGTGGTCCCTTCATTGGCCAATAACGAGGAAACTTCTTTTGGAAAATCTGATACTGCTTTATTAAACATTGCTCTTAATTCCTTATCGGCACCAATAAAGTTGGTGCCATTGTCACTGTATAAATCCTTACAGTAACCTCTTCTAGATACAAATCTTCTAAAAGCTGCTATAAAGCCTTCAGCTGATAAATTAGAAACTGCTTCTAAATGAATTGCGCGTGTAACCATACAAATAAAAATACAAATATAGCCTTTATATGACTTTAAACCGCGACCTGGGGCACATCTGATTTTTATATATCCTGTAAAATCTACACCTGTAGATTTAAATGCTCTTTCAGGTTTCAGTCTTACTGACGGGAGTTGGCCCATAAAGATATTTCTTTGCTGTCGCGAATATCTAATACATACAGTACAATTTCTGTAGCTCTTCTTAACGTGTTCTCTCGCTCTTAATATCCAGAACTTTGATCTTAAATAATGAAGCATCGATAATGGTCCTCCGTGCAATGTTTTTATATGTGCATCCAAAATTATTAGTTTTGTGAGATGACTTGTAGCGGGCAATATCATAGAATGTTTTTTATCAAAACTTTCTTGAGAATGCATGATGCGACCACCGACTCTGAGAATACCATTTTCGTCAAAAATGGGACAAAGAGTATGCAATTTGCTGGATTTAGATGTAGATCCTTTTAATTTTAGCTGTTGAATATCGTCCTTAAAATATATATTTTGCGTTTCCTTTACACATAATTCTAAAATCTTTTCCATTTCTTCTGATGTTATACATTCTGGAATTACCCTTAATTCTTTTGGTATTTTCCATAATGATACTCTTTTGCAATAAGATAATACTCTCAACATTTTCTGTAAACTTGAAAATCTTGTACACAAAAAATCTTCCTCTACTCTCACTTCAATAGTCATAGCTTTAATAGGCCTTTGTTCCTCTGTAGTTACAAAATCTTCTGGCTTACTTATTTTATACTCATTTATCTCCTTTAGCCAATCTGGCCCATACCACCATAATTTGTGATTGCTTAATTCCTTTGCTGAAAGTCCTCTTGAGGCACAGTCAGCAGGGTTGTGCTTAGTATTGACATAGTTCCATTTGTCTCGATCTAGCATAGTCAATATCTCTGATACTCTATTGCTCACAAACGTCGTCCAACGACTTGGCTCACCACGAATCCACGCTAGAGTCACAGTAGAATCCGACCAAGCGTATAAATTTTCCCTTGCAATACTCATAACTTGTGATACTTCAAACATTAATTGCGTAGCAAGAAGTGCTGCGCACAACTCTAGTCTTGGTATTGATACTTCCTTCTCTACGGGCGCAACTCTTGTCTTCGCTGTTATCAAATGTACTATAGCATAGCCTGATTCGTTTTTAATTTTGATATATATAGCAGCAGCAAATGCTGTTTGTGAAGCATCTGAGAATGCGTGTAATTCTACTTCATCCGTTCTTTTTACTTGCAGCCATCTTGGGATAATTATAGCTTTAACGTTGATTAAATCCCTTCGAAAGTCGAGCCACATTTTCAACAATTCAGGTGAGAGATCATCATCCCAAGCCAAGCCAGATTTCCATAATTGTTGAATATATATTTTAGCAGTAATAATCACTGGCGCGATCCATCCCAAGGGATCATACAATCTGGCTATATCAGATAATACTTTTCGCTTTGTAATCGGCATTTCTGATACTGGCAACTCAAGTGTATATTCAAAATTATCAGTATCTTTATTCCAACAGATCCCTAGTACTTTTATCATGTTATTTTCTTTAAATACCACTGACTGATCTGATCTCTGTTTGTCAGTTTTAATATGATTTAGCAATTTCTCACTATTAGTACACCATTTTTGTAAATGAAATCCTCCAGCCAACATCAATTCTTTTAATTGTTCATAAATTTCAATACTTTCCTTTTCTGTTTCACTACCAGACAGTAAATCATCCATATAAAAATCGTGTAATGTTATCTTCGCTGCTATTGGATACTTAGACTGCTCATCAATAGCTAATTGTTGGAGACATTTTACAGCAAGGTATGGTGCGCAAGCAGTGCCAAAGGTAAGTCTTACTAGTTTATAACATTTTATTGGCTGATTTGAATTTGATCTCCATAAAATTCTTTGACAGTCTGTATCATCATTATGCACACGAATCTGTCGGTACATTTGTACAATGTCAGCTACAATACAGTAAGTATGTTTTCTCCACCTCATTAAAATATGCCTCAAGTCTTGTTGTAGTTTAGGACCTATCAAAAAACAATCATTCAGAGAAACATTATTGCTTCCCTTGCAGGATGCATCAAAAACGCATCGTACTTTGGTTGTCTCTTTATCCTCCCTTACAACTGCATGATGGGGGAGATAAACTGCTTTAGAACTATTCTTTTGTTCAGTAATTTCTACCATATGACCTTGTATAATATAATCTTCGATGACGTTTACATATTTTTCATACAAGTCTGGATCCCTTTTCAATTTCTTTTCTAATAGTTGAAATCTCCGTAATGCAATGTTTCTAGTTTCACCTTTAAAACATTGTGGATTTTCTTCTTTAAAAGGTAGTTTTACCATATACCGTCCGTTATGGTCTCTGGTTGTCGTTTTTTCAAAAAAGTCTTCACATGACCTTTCTTCTTTTGTAATTTTCTTTTCTATACTTTCTGGCCCTCTCTCTATTTCCCAGAACTTGGCTAAGAGTTGATCTTCCTTCACTTGTAGATGAAGATTGATAATTCTAGGATTTGATTGATTAATATTATTAATTCTTCCCGATAGTATCCAGCCTAATTGCGTATTTTGTGCAATTAGACTACGTTCACCTGGATGTTTTTTAAGACCATTTAAAATTATTTTAGTTAGTATGTCAACACCCAAAATAATGTCTATTTTGCTAGGTACTCCAAACTGAGGATCTGCCAGTGATAAATTCTCAAGTTCTGGCCAGTCCGTGATCAAAGTTGAATTATTAGGTAGAAAAGATGTCAATGTACTCAAAACATATGCGTTAACAGGTATGGAAAGTGAATTAAAGCGTGATCCTAGTACGAATGACACCATACTTTTCGTGCGAGTCTTTCCATCACCCACTCCACTTATAAGACCGTTTACGGCAGATCTTTTAAGGCCCAAAGCTTGCACTGTAGCTTCGTTCACGAATGATGCCTCGGAACCTTGATCAATTAGCGCTCGTACAATTTGACAATATCCATTGCTTGATTTAATCTTCACTAGAGCTGTTGCTAATAATATTTCGCCTTGTGTTTCTTGTGCAAAATGAGTTGATATTTTAGTTTCCTTTTCATTAGTAACTTGCTCATTTGGCTCCTTGCTTTCGTTAGGAGTTGATTCTATTTTTCTCTCAAGGTGCAACAAGGAGTGATGTCGTCTGCCGCAACGTCGACAGCAAGTTGATTGACGGCAAAACTTAACAGAATGATTATGTGCCAAACAGTTGAAACACAGTCTCTTTGATTGTACAAACTCTGTCCTTTCTTCAGGAGACTGGTTGCCAAATTGTTTGCACTGATATAACATGTGTGGTCTGGAACACATAGTGCAGATACTATTACGTGTATTGGTTGCTACATTTTCAATTGCAGAATGAAAAGATTTTTGTTTGATTATTTGTTTATGTGGAGCAATCATTTCTAATGTCCTGAAGCGTGTTTCTAAAAATTTGGTTAGATCTGACCAAGTCGGCAATGTATCAGAATCAGATTGGCTTACATATACTTCCCACTGCTTCCGTGATTCTTGATCAAGTTTAGAGACAATTAGATAATTGATGATGACATCCCAGTTTTCAATTTTTATGCCTAAATTATTTAAGGACTTCAGACACGAGTTGGTTGTATCCAATAATTGTTTCAAACCAGTTGCCGATTCGGTCAGTATATTTCTTTGTGTAAATAGTTTCTTCATTATCTCATTTGTATTATATCTTAAATTGTTATATCTTGTAATTAATTGCTTCCATGCTTCTGTATAATTGTTCTCTGTGGTTGACAAATTTTTAAGCAGACTAGCTGGCTCTCCGGATAGGCTGCTCTTTAAATAATGCAGCTTTTGTACTGCACTTAGATTTCCATTTTCATGAATGAGAGAGACGAACATGTCATGATAGGCCTGCCAGTCTTCGTATCCGCCTGAGAATAAGGGCAAATTGATTTGGGGTAGCCTCACCTCACACGATGATGTAGTGGGCTGAGTAACTGTACTATTACTCTGCTTTGATGCCACAGAGGTTGTTGGTAGAATTCGCTTAAGATCGTCCATCAATTTAACCTTGTATTCCAAATAAACATCTTCAAAATCATCGAACATTTCATTTCTAAAATACAGTAGTCTTTGTTTATCTTCGGCTGTAATCTTGGCAATAATTTCTGTATGTTGATTAAAGAAGACTGTATATAATTTCTCTAAATGATCCATTCTAGCTTCAATAAACGATTGTGTAATTCTCTCTTTAGGTGATTTTTTGTAATTTCTGAATGCTTTTTTCAAATGTTCTAATTGATCTTCTTGTTTCAAACAATTTGACTCCATTTTGAAAATTTAGTATCGAATAATGCACTTGAACACGAATAATGCACTTGAACACGAATAATGCACTTGAATTATTGTTAAGCGATCTTTATTTTTAATTGTTCATGTGTTTTAATAATCGTTAACAAAGTCTTAGTATGATAATCACTGCTAGAAACAACATTAAATTTCTCTAAGATATAGTTCAGCAATTTTCAAAGTCAAAGACAGAAGACATCAAATTTTACCAAGTGTCTAAAATTGTTCACTATTTACTAAGTTCAAAGTTTCAAACTACACAGAAATTTTCTAAGTGTTTTTTAGTGCAAATTATTCTAAGTGTTTTTTACACTGTAATTTTTCTAAGTGTTTTATTTTTCACTGAAATTTTCTAAGTGTTTTTTAACGAAAATTATTCTAAGTGTAATTTTAATCCAAATTTTTCTAAGTCTTTATCACTGATCACAACACTTCTTCTTTTTTCCACTGATTGTTCACTTTACTCACTATTTTCTAAGTTCTTAAAACTGTTTTTCCCGGGTTTCGGCACCAGATGTCAGCACTGCACTAATTTGGTTCAAATAAAAACTCAAGCTTACTGTCGAAAAAACTTATTTTAATGTTTTTCTTCAAAGACATATGGCAAACAACAAAAACGAAAAGGTAGCGAGAACTAATTTTCTCTGTGGCGCCATCTAGTTTAATTTATACGAACTAACATCTTCATCTGGGTATTACTATTAGACAACCTATCTCTTATTTGTTTTTATAATAATATAAACACTTTCGCTCCAACTCCCGCTGCCTACGTTCAATTATCCGTCATCCACTTGTCAATGTCATATAGATTACTTTGGCTCTGGCCTCTGACGTTCCGTTTCAGGTTACATGATTATTGACTTTACCATTTTTAATTAATGGTGTGTCACACGATAGTTAACAGTACATACACCAAAATAACATATTTTACAATTTTTGTCTGTCTGTCTGTTTGTTCCGGCTAATCTCTGAAATGGCTGGACCGATTTTGACGGGACTTTTTTTGGCAGGTAGCTGATGTAACAAGGAGTAACTTAGGCTACTTTTATTTTAGAAAAATAAAGTTAAAAACTACGTGGACGAAGTCGCGGGAACAGCTACTGTATAATATATTAGAGATACCTACGTGTTTTTTTATTGATGACTAGCTGTACACGGGATTTCGTCCGTGTGGAATTTCACTTTATTTTTCTAAAATATAAGAAAATAAATTCCACGCGGACGAAGTCGCGTGTACAGCTAGTTGTCGGTAGTCTAGCGATTTATCTAGCACACCGCTTTGATTCCTGCTTGGTGGTCGAGGGTTCGATTCCTCGCACGCTGCAAACATTTGTATTTATGAGTATGATTGTTTGTAACGGTCTGGGTGTTTTCTATGTATAGATAATATATATGTATTTACGAAAAAAAATCTTTGTATTTATATCAGTTGTCTAGTACCCATAACATAATCTTCAGCTAGCTTAACTTGGGTCTAGATGAAGCTTTGTGAATTGTCCTGCGATTACTATTATTACTATAATAAATCTTTTCAAATCAGCCGATGTTTATTTTTGCCATAATACGTGCTGTTACCATGTGATAATATTACGTACGTACTTATTACTGTTTTAAATGTGATGCGTTCATTATTTATATTTCCTTTGAATTAAAGACAAATGTATATATATATATATATATATATATATATATATATATATATATAAACACCTCTTTGGGCACTTTGTTGATCACGCCACAACCTACACACTTGCTGATTCCACCTTTTGCACTGAATAACTTGACTCCTATCGCGTATATCTCAGGCGGTATGGCAACGTCGCATTCTATTTTGCGATGTGGCCATATATATTCGTCGATAGTACGATATACTCGACACATTTTTTACTAATAATTCGTGCATGACTGGCTCCGAACGGCTAAATTTTTGGTATACACAAAGACTTTTTGGCTCTGAATATATTCCAAAAATCAATTAATTATGTTGATCACTTTATATACTGGTCCTTACTGCGATACTTATTTTCATCCGAATATATATAGATACCGTAACGGTCTATCAATTATGAATTTATTAATTTACTAATATTGATATTTTATATTCGCAATGCTCCATACATGCAAGCTCCAGCAACGGTGGAGGCAGGGTCCCCCCTGCACCGTACACCGCACCCCGCGCACACAAACAAATTAGATATTTTTTGAATACACAAAGACTTTTTGGCTCTGTATATATATTTCAAAAATCAATTAATTGTGTTGATCACTTTATATACTGGTCCTTACTGCGATACTTATTTTAATCCGAATATATATAGATACCGTAACGGTCTATCAATTATGAATTTATTAATTTACTAATCTAGATATTTTATATTCGCAATGCTCCATACATGCAAGCTCCAGCAACGGTGGAGGCAGGGGGGAAGCAGGGGGACCCTACACCGCACCCCGCGCACACAAACAAATTAGAATAAATTAAATTCATAAGATTATTTATATATTTCGACTGCCTCGGTGGTCACACCGCTTTACATCCGATGGTCGCGGGTTCGATTTCTCGCACGGTGCAAACATTTGTACTCATCGGTCATCGATTGTTTTCATCGGTCTGGGTGTTTTATATGTATATTATATATGTATTTACAAAATAAAAATATCTATTTATATCAGTTCAGTATCAGTCTGTGTTAATTGTCCAGGGCTATTTATTATATTTTTATAAACGGTTATCTTTTTCCATCGCACCGCTCGCTATCGACAGTGAATTCATAGAAATGTCACTCTAAAAACAAAAATAGTTTTGTGTTTTGTATTTCAAATACTAAATGCAAAATAGGTATTTTCAAAATACTTTTTCAAAATAAAGTACCTTTTGAATTTTTGTCTAAACCTCAGATATTTTATTTATTTTAGGTATATCAATCATTACATAGTGTAGTATAAAACAAAGTCGATGTCGCATCTAACAGTACATAAATAAAGAAAGAAGACTTTTTGGCTCTGATACCGTAACGGCCTATCAATTATGAATTTATTATACCTAATCTAGATATTTTATATTCGCAATGCTACATACATTGTAATATCCGCCTCCATTCATTGTAACGGTGGAGGGACTAAATAGTTGAATAAAACTGAATAAGCACTTGCTCCACTCTATAGGTACTGCGTCGTCGTCGTATGCTGTTCATTTTTCACTCGTTTTGGCGCCAAGAGAGGGTCACATAGTCGTGGTCAAGTTAAGAACTTATAATTTAATTTTGATAACAATAGATACAAGTAAAAAGTAGGTATTATATTAATGTACGTAAGTACTGAACTTAAAAATATTTATTCTTTATTGTACATTTGAAAAACTTAACACTTAAGGACTTGTACATATACACGTACATACTGCCATTTTCTCTTAAAGACATCCAGAGAAGCACTATTTATCAAATACGCGGGGTGCACCGACCTTTGACCTTATAACAACTGATTCGCGCGTAACGAATTACATTGCTACTTTTTGGTATTTTATAGTGGATATGTCACTATAAAATATTATTATTTCTTTAGATTATGACATAATAACATAGTTTACATGATTTTAAGGGAAACATACGATAAAAAAAATTCCCGTAAAATGTAAAAGATAAAAAATGGTTATTGTTGGTTATCCTTAAGAGATAGACATATACCATCATGGACTTTTTTGTTGACCTTATTTTGATACATCTCTAAGCACTAGACAATACGCATTTTCATTAAACAGTATTGTATTTTTTTTATTTCTTTAACTTTAATGCACAAACAAATTTGTACATGTGGCGGACTTAATATTTTGCCGCGTTATTTACCAGGCAACCATGAGTGGTGCAGCGAAAGATTATTGGCGGTGCACTAATATAAATAAGAAATGTCAAAAAAAGATTTATAAAGATAAGCAAAATATACATTTCTATAAAAAAATAACAATATACATACATAAATATATATGTAAATATAACCCATAAATGTATAAATAAATACATAATGATCCGATAATCAAATTATAAGTACTGTCTCAAATTGAAAGTAAGAAAAACAGAAAATATAGAGAGAACTATAGGGATATAACAGAAAGATGTGAAAAAAGGAGAAGGACAGTAAAAAAGTTACAAATTTAAATAATGTTCCCGCAATTTCTGTTTAAATGAATTTATTACATTATTATATATATTAGGCATACGACTAGCCTTATGACTGTTACTTTTTTTTTAATCTATACATCTATACATGTAAATAAAATTGGAGTGTCTGTTTGTAATATTGAAATAACCGTTTTTTACTACTTGCATATGAATATAAATACGGTACATACACCAAAATAACATATTTTACAAGTTTTGTCTGTCTGTCTGTTTGTTCCGGCTAATCTCTGAAATAGCTGGACCGATTTTGACGGGACTTTTTTTGGCAAGTAGCTGATGTAATAAGGAGTAACTTACGCTACTGTTATTTTAGAAAAATAAAATAAAATTTCACGCGGACGAAGTCGCTGGGGCCAGCTAGTCTATAGATATACCGAGATTTAATATTTAAGTTGCTATTATGTTGTTGACAAAATTTTACTGTAATGTTACTATTACGTTATCCTACACAATTTGTATTATTTTGGATGAATAAATAAATAAACAAATAATAATCTATACATATAAATAAAATTGGAGTGTCTGTTTGTAATATTGAAATAACCGTTTTTTACTAGATGCATATGAATATATATAAGGTACATATACCAAAATAACTATTTTTATAATTTTAGTCTGTCTGTCTGTCTGTCTGTTTGTTCCGGCTAATCTCTGAAATGGCTGGACCGATTTTGACGGTACTTTTTTTGGCAGGTAGCTGATTTATAAGGAGTAACTTAGGCTACTTTTATTTTAGAAAAATAAAGTTAAATTCCACGCGGACGAAGTCGCGGGAACACCTTATTTTTAATAAAAACATCTTTTTTG